AAATTAATGTAACCAATCAAATCGAATTACTTTTATTTTGTAACCAATAAAATTAAAATCTTTAACGATATTTTTGTCGATCTATAAATATATAGGAGGATTATTTTTGGTAACTCATTCCAACTTTATTTTATTTTTGGGTAACTCATAGTCCACTTTGGATATATATATATATATATATATAATATATATTATATATATATATATATTAAAACAATTATTTAACATAAAAAGATATATTAAACATTATTTAAAATAAAAAGAAATTTTAAAAATAAAAAGAAATTTAAGAAAAAAAAAGATGTAGATTACATTAGGATTCAAAAGAATTTATGATCACCAATACTTATGAGGGTATTTTAGTCTTTTTTATTTATCGAAATTTTCGGTTCTCACTAATGAATTATTTTAGTACTGAAAATAAATATGAAAGACTCCTTAATTTACTTTCTTAAAAAGACAAAATCTTATGTTTTAAAAAAAAAACAAAATCTTTAATTAGATTAATTTTTATGAACCAAATAATATTTATTTTGTTTAAGTATATGTTTAGCCCACATTTGAAAAGATATAAGACATAATAAAATAAAATGTAGTGCAACTAATGTATTCTTATATAGATATTATCAAAAGTACATTTAATTATATTTTGTGTTATTAAATTCGATCCAGACTTTGACTCGGCTAAAGAACCGAGTCGATGGATCATCGACTCAACCGGTGAATCAATGATTTAATTAATTTATTATAAAAATATTAACAATATATATTTTTAAATAATTATAATTTACAATAATTAATAATAAACTAAAATAATTAAAAATATCAAAGAATTAATTGAGATCAATAAGGTTATGCGGGTCGACAAGGGTTCGTCCGGTTCTCTTTCTTAAATGATTTAAAAGCATAATTAACCTAACTTTGAAGCCGGGTTCATCGATTTTCTAGATTGACATGTTGAGTTAGACTGAATTTAATAACTATTACATTCTATTAGATTCCAAAAATACATATCTAACCTAGCATTGATGGTCATTTTACATGCCAATTGACTCCTTTCAATATGGAGTGAAAATCTAATTATAACTAGGTGAAAACCCGCGTATTGCTGAGATATTTTATTATTCTGTTATTATAGATTATATTAAATGTTAATTTTTTTGTTTTACATATAAAAATAAATATTTATAAAAAATAAATCCTACAACTTAAAAAATAAATCTAAACTTAAAAAAAAAAGATTATATATATATATATATATATATATATAATATAATATATATATATATATATATACTATATAACTATAATAATTATATATGAATAATGCCATACAACTAACAAAAAGTCCTCAGACAATAACCATTAAGTTAATTATTTTTACAGAAATTATAAATTGAAAGACATATAGAAAATATGATAAATGCATACACTACAAAAGTCCTAGACAATAACCATTAGTTAAATTATTTTTACAGAATTATAAATTTGAAAGACATATAGAAAATATAAAAGACAATAATAAAGATATATTGATGTATTGATAGATAATTATTATAAATAAATAGACACAAAAAAATTAAACAATCTAAAATTTTTTAAAAATTCAAATATAAATATAATCAATTATTTAAAATAACTACTAATTTTAAAACTTAAAAAATATCTTAAATGATCTAACAAGAAAATTAAAAAAAAATTCAAATTTGAAATATAGAAATAGATATTATTGTAAATAAATATTAATTTTTAAAACATATTATTAGATATAATTTTAGTATATAGTTAGATAATAAAATTAAAAATTAAATGATGAAAATATTATAACTATAATAAGGTATCTCAATTTCTTTTTAATTTGTTAAATATATTTATTTTTAATTTATCAGATCCTTTGTTATTTTAAATATATTTATTGAATTTATTGTTTTTTTTTCACCTTTTAAATAATAATATAAATGTTCACTTTACCGATATATAACTTCAATAATGGAGAGCTTTCTCTTTGACGTAAATGGCAAAAATAATATATATATTATACTTATATTTCTCTCCCAATTTATTAACTCAAACTCTTTCAAAAACTCAAATATTCAAATCATATCAAATACTTGAATTGTATGCGATAGGCTAACTTAGCAATTGGAGAAAAAAATATTATAATAATAATGATTACATGAATTAAAATAGTTATAAATAATTAAAATTTACATATATACGAATATGAAGCATTTAATAAAAAAAAATTTACAGTTTTCTACGATTCGCTAAAAATATAATAAATTTAAAAACATAGCCCAATTGAATGTCACAAAATTGAAAAGCAATAAAAAATAATAATAAAACACTATAAAAGGAAATCATTGAAACTCATTAATATGGAGATATATAAATAGATATAGGCATACATAGAGATATAGATAAGAAAAAAATTCAAAAGTTTTAAAGTATTAATTATTAAAAATTTTTAGATCTAGGTATATATTAGATTATATATAGGAAAAGAAATGTGTAAAAATTAATTAAAAAATTAGAAAATTTGTATAGAAATATCAAAAGAAGAGAGTGACAAGAAAGCTTTTAAAGATTTGATTTATTTATTTTATTATTTTATTTCTTAAAATAATAGTTTGATTTATTTATTTTTATTTATTTGGGGGATTCAACTTAATGGCAATATATTATGATCTACACAGTAGAAAACTCATCCACTTAGGCTCTGTTTGATAAAAAAATTTAATTTAAAATATACACACTATTTTAATATGATAATATATAAAGATAATTATCTTTCAAGTTTGCTCAAATCTTATTTTTCTAAATAAAATAAATTATGTTATGTATTATTATTTTGAAAATAAATTATGTCTTACTGCCTCTGTTTCATAAATTATAGTTTTAGTTTACTTTTACACTATTTAAAAAAATAATTAATATGATTAAGCTATAACGCTTATTTAATTGTTTTTCTAATATGTGCTAATATGAATTATTAAATGATTCCTATTATTCTAAAATAATTAAATGATTCATATTAAATTATTTAGAAACTAATTAAAATTTTTAATTTTTAATGCAAAGTTATGGAGTTCGCTAATATAAGTGGCAATAATAATAAGTTTATTGATGGAAATACACATTAAATAGGAAAAAAAAATAGAAAACTTAGAAATGATTCATATTAAATTATATTAATTAGGAATTTTAATATTTTATAAAATGTTTCACTTATTATTAAACATAATAATAAATAATACTCTTATTAATGAAAATATGCGTTGAATTTTTATGAATAATAACTAATTTATCACTTAAAATTAAAAATATTTAACCTTATTATAACTTTTTCCCATATAATACATAGTTAATTATTAATAATGTTAAATTAAAAAAAAATTCACATGAACTGACAATTGAAGTTGGTCTCAAAATGTTTTAATATAAAATTTAATTGGTAAAAGATTTTAATTTGTCTTAGGTAAAAAACTAACCCTGATATATTTGTAAATTAATTCAGCAATATTTTTAAAATTATTTATATACATATATCTATACATATACGAAAGCTAAAACAAAAAACGCGTCTCTCTGTCTAGAATTTTATTTTTCTTTTTTTTATAAATTTTAAATTTTTCCTTAATTTTCCTGAGCCTTGATTGGACGACTTAGTATTTTAATTAATATTTTATTATAAATTATACATATTTAATTATTAAAATTTTTTTATATAATTATATTATCTTTAAAACACAGTTTCTGTATTGTTTACGAATCATGATTAGATTAGTTTTCAAATTGAACACAAATTATAGTCTATATTGGTTTCTATTTTTCTTTATTGGGAAATTTTTTGAGCTTTTCCAAATTTTACTTACATATAATTGGTTCTTAATATTATCTATATTATCTAAATAAAATTTCTAAAATTTAAATATAAATAATTCTAATGAGTATCTATATTTCGGCTAGGGATAAGGAAGAGATGAAACAAAATCAACCAACCTAGGTCTGATATGGTGTTTTCTTTTTTGGACAGAATTCAAAGTATACCCATAAATGGAGGCTACAATCTATTCTAAGGTGGAGAAATTAGATGGATTTAAAGGTAATTTTACAACAAACAGCATGACACAAAATTTTTCAGCATGTTTACAATAAGTTACATATTGCATTTGCAAGAATTTCTTCTCAGGCAATGCTTTAATGTAGGCCTTTGGTCTTTGAATGATTCTTATAGATGAAAGAAAATTTTCTTTGGTAATGGTAAAAAATGCTAATTTAAGAGTCTGCCTACCATTTTTTATTTTTAATTATTGTTCTTATAGCATGCACATTGTCTTATATAAAAATAAATTCTGTCTAAGCAACTTTTTATATTGTATATTTGGTCATAAGTGTGTATTATTTTTTATTTTTTAATGTAATAATCAAAACAAATTGCTTCTTCAATACTTTTTCACTTTGCAATAATATGAAATTGCTTTGTATGATTAAATGAAAAAAAATAATATTTGTAGGATTTCTTAGAGAAAATTTTAAATAAATTATATTTATACACTAAAGAGTTCATTCATATATTAATACTTTCATTTAAAACTTTTTCTTGATTTGTTGTTTGAAGAGTTTCCATCTTTACTATATCATATCATACCTTGAATAAATTAATATGTCTATACATTATATATATATATATTAAATCTCAAATAATAGACTAATTTTCAAGTAAAAAATAGGATTTAATTATAATTATTTCTTGAGATTTTACCAAAAAACTTTTCAACTATTTTTTTAAAATTTTCGATAACAATAGTAATTTTCAAATAATGTATAAATATACACGTAAAGCGCGAGATTATGACTAGTTTTGATATATAAATTTTTAATTTAATTAAAAAGGAAGGAAAAAGAAAAGAAATTCAATAACGGTTATTAAAAAGAATCTCTCCTTATCCCTGACGGTCATTAAAACGGTTAAAAAGAAAAAGAAAAAAAAGAAAAGAAAAGAAAAAGAAAACAGACAGAGTTCGCGTCTTCTCTTGTATTTTGCTTATAAAATATTAGAAATAAGAAATCAAAACGAGTCCCTTCTCCTCTCTCTATCTCTCCATCTCTTTCTCTCTCTCAGAAATTTCTGTGGGAGATCTCTCAAAATCGTGAAATAGGTTAATTTTCTTCTTCTGAAACCTAGTTTCAATCAAATTGCATTGTGTCCGTTAATTTCAATTATCCAATTCTCTCTCTCTTTTTTTTTTTTTTTTTTTTTCTTTTTTTTTTTTTTTTTTTGATTATCCGAAAGTAAGCTTGTTTTTTTTTTTTTTTTTTTTTGATTATCCGAAAGTAAGCTTGTTTTTTTCTTTCCCCCTTAATTTTCCTCTTTTTTGCAGGAAATATATTGAAAAACTTATCAATTGCTAATACTCCAGCTCTCGATTTTGTTAATGTTCACAAGGTAAGGAATTCTATCTCTTGATGGTCTCTCTATTATGACCCATATGTAAATTTTGCAGCTTTATTAGCAAATATATCAAAGTTTTTTCCATTTTTTGGTTGCAAATTACTGGGTTTTTTTTTTTGAGAAGTTATAATGGTTCAATGGCTCTTATTACGTTCACTTTTTTGTTCCGCTCGTTTTGGTGTCGATATCAATGGTAGAAGCATTTCAATTGTTTTTATACTGCTTCCTTCATGGGCTAAATTGTCCTATTTAGGATTTTGAAGCTAAAATTCAATTTTAGAAGCTAAGTTGATGCCATGCAAAACTTTTTTCCTTGAACAATTTCTGTTTGCGTTTGCTGATGTTTCCTATTATTGATCGTATTGTTTATAGTACCTTTGGCTGGATTGGCTTTGTCGATATTATTGTGGGTTCAAATGATGAATTGATAACCTGAATCTGTTCACAAGGGTTTACCCTTTTGATTGTATTTTTAGGAGCAAAGTTCCGTTCTTTTGTAAACATTGAATACATCATAAAGTAGAATCAGGCGTATGCTTTCTGCTTGAGAAATAGGAATCCTGATATGATCAGGATGGGTAAAGTAATTTGTTTTGAGATTGTGTGAGATAGTGGTTTTGAGGGTCTCTGTATTTTGTGTTTTCTTTTTTGAACTTTTAATGGATCACGTGAAAAAAGACACATTAATCTAGCAAGAATTTTTGGGGTATTAAGCTTGCTATTCCTTGAACATCTTGTTATGTTCATCAATCTTAATTGTGAATCTCATACCCCTTACAAGAAGAAATCCAATCTGCGGTATGCTTTGATTGCACCTAGTTGCACTATGTTCTGAAAAGTTTGGGTGTTGGAGTGGCGGGAGTATCATGCAGACCAATATAGATTTTGCGCTAGTGTGTCTAAGAGGTTGGTTTGATTTGTTATGACTTATGACCAGCATGCACAGAGAGTAAATGCATATTTTGTTTCAATTATGAAACCTGACATGTAGCACATCACCTGTTTGGATGTTGAACGAACAAAGAGGTCTATAGACAAATTCTGGATTACTATAGGATGGACTTATGGTTATCTAGGACATAGGTCTAATTATTCTGTCAATGATCCCATAGATTTCAATTCTTCTATCAATATCCTTCAAACACCAAGTCTGCAGTGGATTTCTTAGCTTGGCATTGGCATCTTGTGGTGTATTGGAGTTGAATGTTCTTAGCATTATGAGTTGCAGAATGCATATACTCTCTTTTTCTCACTTGGTTCTGGACCTTGATATTCTTGTAATGCCCTGGTTCTTCTTTTTTTTTGGAAGATTGAAATATTCTCTTCTTTGACTCTCTTTCTTTCTTCTGTTTTTCTCTGCCCCCATCCCCCCCAAAACAAAAAAGAAAGTGCTTACGTGGTTGACTTTTTGTATCTATATGTAATCATCTATTGTATATCAGGTTATTTACAGTTATGTAGAGAAATGAAAATAATGGGATTATTGGTCTTATATGTTATGTCTTTCATACTAACATTCAGGTGGAACATTTGAACTAACTTTGAATTTTTGCCTCTTCCTTAAGTTTTGGGTGGGAAATTTTGAAGTAGTTGTGTCTGTTTTCATTTAGTATTTAACTGCTTTTTCCAGAATAGGACATTTTTCAGGAAGCTATCGTTATAAAGGATGTCATAATGAAGAAACTGGAAAAGGGTTTTTGATGTCATCTGTTGTATCCCTAATGCTGGAGAATATATATGATTTGACATTGCATCACCTTCTTATTGCTTTTGTATATATGATTTGACTGGTTACAAGAGCATCATTGTTTGGATTGCTGGACAATCAACGTTTTGTATTCTCACAGTTGCACTGCAACTTTTGTATGATATACTGCTTTATCATCCATAACTAATTGGATTGAATCTTGTGAATATCCTTTCGGGGAATCAGGGATAATTTGAGCTATGGGACAAAGGAACATGCTATGCGCTAGTCAGATGATTGATCTAGAAATGGATCGGCAAGGCCAGGGTTATCTACATCCTGAGCCATGCATTCTTTTGGGAGGCATTACAAACTTCCAACAATCTGATATGACGACAATGGTTACAGGTGCAGGGAATACAACTACTCTTGATGCTCATCATCTACCAGAGCATTATGATAGTGCTGTATTTTATGGAATGCCACAATACCATGGCATGCAACATTATCCTCCGCATCATGCCCCTAATATAGATCTGCAAGTTGCTACTGCATCGAACTTCTATGTTCCGTATTTGGCTCCATCTTCTGGCATTCCTTTAAGTCATGGGTCATGTGATCATTTATCATCTTCCTCCAGTTATGGTGTCATTGGAGTTTCTCCGGATGAGTATGGAGCAAATAGCCACTTCATGGATAACGCCAGAGGTTCATACAAGAGAAAAACTGCTGAAGGTAGCTCAGGGAATTTCCAGTATTTCAATCCCTCAGCAAGCTCCAGTTCTTCAGTAACCCCTTTAAATACAAGACATCCTGATGGGGTTGCTATGATGGATGCTGCATCTTTCACGCCACAGTATAGAGGGAATAGTGCTCCATCAATCAGGGAAGTGGGATCTCATAGAAGTGTGAGGAACAGATTAGGTGCCACTGGGATTGATCCTGGTTTGGGGCATAACCAAAATCATTTTATTCAAGGAAACTACATGGCTCAGCCATTTCCGCCAGCTGGTTCTCTATGGTTGGATCAACAGTTAAGCAATAATTCTAGTGATGCAGGAGCTTCTTCTTGGACCCAGAATCCCACTATTACTTACATGCATGGTAATTTCTATGTTCCTAGTTGTTTACATTCTTTGATTCCATTTGATGGATTACATTTGAATTTTTTGTTTCATTATTTTCACAAAAATGATTGTATGTTGTTCATAAGATGAACATATGAATTTAATAGTTTGCTCGTTTCACTTTCTTGTAGCAAGCAATGTTACTGGGGGTTCTATTGATACTGGGAGCATGGGTCTACAGCGATACCATGAGCTATCTACCAACAGAAGTAACACAAGTTTCTTGCACCCATCACCTGCCAACCTCCGCCACCATAATTTTCATCATTTGTCACCTCCTATTCAAGGAATGAGAGGCCACAATTTTAATGTTATTCCTCAGTTACCAGCCGCTTCATTTAGATGTCCTACAAGCTATGCCTCACAGAGCAATGTGAATCCATCTCAAGATGGTTTGGATATAGGAGTTAGGCATCCAGGTTCCATGCAGCCAACTGGCCTTAGGATGTACAGACCTCATCGTGAGGGAGTCGTGGCTGAGACAGCTCTGAGACATCGCAATCTTCCTCATTTGCGAGTCCTCCCAACTGATGTAATACTACTCCCTGATCTCTGAAATTTTTGTTCAGTTAATTTTCATTTGGTCAAAATGATGTTTTTGATGAAGGAAAATAATTCAATATATTTCTTCTATATGTTGAAGTGGTGATATATGGTTTTTGATGTGTCTAGGGGGTAGCTGTACTAGAGTTCCCCGACTATTATGAAGTAGAAAATTATGTTGACCATCACAGTGATATGCGCTTGGATATAGAGGACATGTCTTATGAGGTAAGTTTGATACCTAAACTGCAGTCTGTTCTTGGCAAACAAAGTAATACTAAGTCCATAAGAAAATTAATTGTGCGAGGACAGCATGGATTTGGATGATCTGAATAATTGGAAGTTATAAATATTGAAAAAATTGCAGGAACTTCTTGCACTTGGGGAGCGGATTGGAAATGTGAACACAGGATTATCAGAGGAAATAATCAGAAATCGATTAAAGACACGAACGTATTTATCATCACCAATGTCGATTAATTTAGAAGAGACAGCTTGTATGGATCAAGAACCTGATTCTTGCATTATATGCCAGGTAGGTAAAATTTGTTTTAGTGGAAACTTGCGAAGGATGCTCAATGTGAGAGTGGAATCTCACTTTGTTCCTTTTTCTCATTTATTAATTTAACCTTGTAGGATGATTATAAGAGTCAAGAGAAGATAGGAATGCTTGATTGTGGACACGAGTACCATGCGGATTGCTTGATGAGGTGGCTGCGCTTGAAGAATGTCTGCCCTATCTGCAAATCAGAAGCATTGACAGCAGAAAGGAAACATGCATAAGTTCAGTAATGTCACCCAAAGGAAACAATTATATATATTTTGGATGGTCATTCGAAGCAGCGCTGCTATTTGTTCCTTCTGCTAATTATTTATCGTAACGAGGTTGGTATTTTGGTATGTATTTTGTACATGCACTTGCAAATATACAACTAAACTAACAGTCACACTGTCTAAATCTTTTATTTGTTGGTCATGTATTTATCAAAACTTGTACAGACTTACTCATTATGCATTTGCATGCATGCTTGTATTATTAACTCTCAGTTAATATGCCATTTTCAGGAGATCCGTTTATTTTTACTTTTTTATTATTTTCAGCGTTGGGATTTTTTCTGGGAGAAAGTCCAGAAAACCCTCCTATGATTCTGCTTCTACATAAAATTAACTTCTTTGAATTGATTATTAAATTATTTGAAGCAAAGAAAAAGAAAAGACCACATGTAGTTTCACGGTAACAACAATTGTTTTTAAGGTTCATGGCTTTTTATGTGGAAAATATTAATCTGATGTCTGGTTAATTACCATAACCTTTGAGATAATAATTTACGGGTGAAAGTAAAAATTTTAACAGACAAGTGTGAAACCTTATTTTTATGTTTTTTTTTTTAAATGGTGAAACAAATGTCATAGACGTTATTAGCTAGAGAAACATCTTAAAATATTAAAAGCTATTCTAAATTTAAAGTATTGAATATTTGTTTAATATTGAAAATTAGGAATTAAATTAATTTTCAATGTTTAATTTTTGATAAAATATTTATTTTAAAAGAATATGTTTATGTAAAAAAATTTAGATAAAGCACAATGTATTTTAAAAGATTATTTAGTTTATTTTTATTTTTAAGTTTTGTTTTAAATAAGGATTTAATTTACATTTTTTTTTCTTAAAAATTTTTTGTGTTTCAAATTTTCCATTCCAATATTTATTAGATTATTTGACAACTGCAGACTTTAGTTAATTAACATGAGCTTTTTTTTTTTTTTTTAACAGTGTTAATGACATTAAGGGAAGAATAAGAAAATGAAATATAAAATATTATTATGATTTCATGTTATGATTAATCTCCAAATGGATAAAAAATATAAAATTATCATATTTATTTCCTAATTTTTTAAATCAATATAATAAAAATTATCATATTTAAAAAACTCCCCCGTTTATAGGAATAATATTGAAAGAATCTTTTTAGTATACATATTTTAAATAACATCTTAATATAGTAAAAGTTCCGGAAAATGAATGGTTAAATCTGAGAGTATCTTAAAATAACATATTTTAAATAACATCTTAATTTAATTAACAAAATATATTTAATAATTAAACTAAAATTTTAAAAAGACAGTAATATATAATGTTATTATGAATTTTCTTCAAAATATATATTAATATTAAACTAAAATTTTAAAAAAGACAGTAATATATAATGTTATTATGAATTTTCTTTCCATTTTAGTATATATATATTTATATATAATATATATATATATAATATAATATTAATATATATAAATTAATATAATGTTATTATTAAATATCCAATTTCAGATTGACGATAATAATTCAATATATATAACATTAATATAATGTTATTATTAAATATCCCAAATTTCAGATTGACGATAATATTCAAACCTTCTTTCTTTTTTTCATGTATTTGAAGTTTGATCTTAATATTTTTTTTAGGATCAACGTATTTTAGGGTTTGCAATAATGGTTGAATATGAATTTGAATTTTTGTTTTTTACACTCCTATTCAAAACTCAATATCTAAATAAAATTATTATTTACAATTTCATATATTTATATTTGATATAAATGAAAATTTATTTAGATGAACAAGTAAATAAAATATTTTAAATTATGGAATTGAAATTCATTTGCAAGAATGATGTATATCTAAAATTTTGTTGGATTTCATGAAAATCTAAATTTATAAATTCATAAATTTAAAATATATAATTGTTGTTTTATAGAAAAATAGGAAGAAATTATATCGTTACTTTATTTTATGCATCACAATTACATTTATATTTTATTAACATTTTAAATTTATTAAAGTGTGTAAATATAAAAATATACATAAAACTACAAAATTACAATTTTCATTACAAAGTTACATACCATTTAAGGACAGCTCAGCTCAATAAGACAAAAAAAACCCAAGATGGAAATTACAAATTTTAATGGAAACAGGTCAACTTATTTAGTACATGTCGCTTTCAATCATAGCACATTAAAAAGAGAATCTTTTCCCAGCAAAGCTTTATAGGAAAATTTTCATTATTCTGAATCACTTTCTACATATCTAATCTGCACATTCAATATATAAAAAGAGAAAAAGGTGAGACAGAGAGAATATATCAAAGGTTCCAGGAAGGAAGAGGGTGCAATGGTGGAATAAGTAATATTTTTTACTGTGAACTTGAAAGAATGCTGAAACATTGTCCATGGGGGCCCTTTTTGAGCTGAAAAACGTGCACATATCATACTTATTAACTATCATCTGCAGAGGGTGAAGCAGTGAAGCATAATTTTGAAAAGGAAAAATAAAATAAAATAAAAACGAGAAAAGACCGGTATTCTTTCTCCAGAGTCTGCAGATTCAATAACTGTAGATCTAATATGACAATTTCCAATTCATGAAAGGACATCATTTTGCACATCTTCCCATATCAGTTCCCCCAATACTAGTGACCTACATTCCACCTTCAAGAAATCTGATGTTCAACAAAGACTAAAAAAGAATCCCAACAAGTTCTAATGATAGATCTACTTTCAAAATTTTCAGATTAATTTTGAATCTCAATGACAACTATTCTCATTGGAAGTTATGCATAAACAAAAGGAATGCAAATCAAAATCAATTACAGAATTAAAATTTTCTGAAAATGTCTATGCTACGGCATCCAAATACAACAGAAGCTACATCAGCTAAGAAAGAAAACAATACACAAGAGGGAAAGTTGAAAACCTCAAGTAACTATCAAAGAACTCATCAACTAAAAAAGCAAGAAAAGGAATATGAAAGATTAAAGACCTTTTCTTTGGATTCCAGAGAAATCTCTTAAGATCTTCAGCATCAGACTTACGATTGTAATGGCTGAGTTGCAAGAGGTGCTGTGTCTTATCAAGTGAAATTCTTGAAGTTTATATTTGTAAAGATATTATTTTTCCACCTCCTCAATCCCGGATTTAAACAGTGCAGCAACCAACTTTCTTAACCGCCGAAACATCATCCTTAACATTGATAGTTTGTCCTTTGGGCAAGGCTGCTGGATCATCCCCTATATCAAGTGCTTTCCGGCTCACCACATGATATATTTGAGTCAGCACTTCGGTGAAAGCATTCTCAACATTCATAGACTCAAGGGCAGATGTTTCCATAAAGAATGTTTTCTCCCTCTCTGCAAAGGCCTTGGCATCCTCAGTAGAAACAGCACGCAAGTGACGTAGATCTGCCTTGTTACCCACAAGCATAATCACTATATTAGCATCTGTGTGACCTCGTAGCTCCTTCAACCATCGTTCCACATTCTCAAAAGTCACATGTCTTGTTACATCATAAACTAGCAATGCACCAACAGCTCCTCTGTAGTATGCACTCGTGATCGCCCGGTACCTTTGGCAAAGTAAATAAAATAGCAGTCACTTACAACATTCATAAGCCAAATATTCACAGCTAGATTATCATATGTAAACGAAACGAACATGAATTATTATTATTATTATTTTGACAGACATATGTGTCAATCGAAATCTCTCTAATATTGGTGCTAAAATGAAGGAAATATAAACCTTTCCAACCAAGCACAACAGAACACGAACAATCAAGCATGAAGACTGAAGTGAAAGGAAAAGGCGAAAAAAAAGGCTTCACCTAAAGTTAGGAATATAATTGGTAAAAGTCTGGGCCAGCATTTGAGATGTTTCATGCAGCTTGTCATGCACAAGAGAGCCCAAGCTGGCTCGCACTCATTTTCACCATAAGATTGATTTTGGTTCACTGCTAACCAGCAAAAGAATTAGCCAAGCACATCCCCACCACCACAGATAGAGTTATATATATGCCCAATTTAATTAGTCTATAAGATACATAGGTTTCATAATAGGTCAATGAGACTTTTAAACATGCCAATCACATGCTTTTGTGTACATTATCTATTTCTAGAAACCAAACTTCTGAATATTATATTTAAAAACACAGCAGTTGTTGTTCACAGCCTCCTAGTTGATTTGTGAAACTCTAGCAGTTCAATTGGCCCAAGCTTAGCTCATTTTATGTGGAGAATGTTTTGACCAAACTTGGATAATTTAGCCAATAATTGTTTCATGCTGAGTTTTCAAAGGAAGCCAGCCAAAGTATCTCAAAACTATTTTGGTTCAATTTGTATAAAATCTCAATATCTAAGAGATGAAAATTTTTTAGAAAGATAAGAAACCCAAGTGAATATTGTTAATAGAATAGCAGCCAAATAGCATACTCAAAAAACACCTGCTTCATTTGGTCACACGATCTCTTGAAAAATATAAACGCTTGGCAGGTTCAAAACACAAGACAAATCTTTCCAATATAATTTAAATAGAAATTAATGTGTATGCTGATGTACTTCATAATAACTGCATGTAATGATCACATTTAAAACCTCTACATCACATCTACCATCCTAAAAACTGAATCAGATCAAGACTACAAGCAGAAAGCCTCTCTGCTACATATGGAAAGTGGACAATGCTTGCTATATAATAAAGAAAGATTCTTTACCAAAGGCAACACGTTGCTATAGATGCAATGGCACTTAATAAAACCATTGCGTTTTATCTGACAGGAATTATCTCACATATAATTGGTATTGGCCAGTAAGGATAAGGACTGAATTTCAAACAACTTTCTTAACATACTTATTCTTAAATAATTTATTTCAACAGTGTAAAATGAGAAATATTAGCCGGACTGCAATATTTCCTTATACATTATCTGAAACTTGATTAGTCTATTGAATAACCTTCACAGACAGAAAACAAAAAAATTAATCCAATATAAAGATATCTTCATGTAGGGTAAAGTACCTACCAAATTAGCCAATTCTTAACTCAATAGTTTTCTTAAAATGGATAACACATTGCGCTAATTACTATTACCAAAAATTCATTTCAAATGTTAATTACCAGAAATGTCCTATAAATACCCACTTAGATTCGAAAATCAACCATTGGTACAGCCATTACTGCAAAAACTAGCATTTTATTGTCCAATGATATGAAATTAAACTCCTTTTTATTTCTTAAATATTTATTAGCAATCACCAACCAAAAATATATTCCACTAACGATCTTTCCCTCAAACATCCCAAAAATTAAAAAAAAATCCCTAAACACCGATCAATTTTCTCACCAAAGCAACAGATCATGAAACCAAAATGAAGAAAAAGCTTTAGAATTGGTAATTCCACAACCCAAAATCTCAATCAAAATGAGAGGGAAAACATGACGAAAATCCAAAGAAAAAAACCTTTCTTGGCCGGCGGTATCCCAAATCTGAGCCTTCACGATCTTGTCATCGACGCGAATGCTACGGGTGGCAAATTCAACGCCAATAGTAGATTTGGATTCGAGACTGAACTCGTTTCGAGTGAATCGAGAGAGTAGATTCGATTTCCCGACTCCAGAGTCGCCGATTAACACCACCTTGAATAGATAGTCGTAATCATCGTCTGCTCTGTACGCCGCCATATCTTCCTGTCAAAGTCGGGTCGGGTCAAGTATTTCCCTCTCTTTCAAGGGAAAATTGGTTTGTTGATGCTGTTTTTGGATTAAATCCGCGAGGATTTGAGATTATAGACGCGGGGAGAGATAGAGGGGCTTTGAATTGGTTTTGTAGCTTCTGAAATTTTGATGATAATGGGCGGGCCAAGTTAAGAGATGAACATTATTATTATTATTATTATTATTACTACTTTTATTTTCAAAAATAACTTCTGTGAAAAATATTTTCTAAATGTTCGATATTTCCGGCACTTAAAAAAAAAAAAAAAATTCTAATTGTTCGATTATTTTCCGGCAACTTTTAAAAAAAAAAGAAACTTAAAAAAAAAAAAAAATTCAATCACTGAAAAATATTATCATGGTTAAAAAAAAAACCATTTTAAAGAAAAATGACTCTATTTTGAAGGAAATTTTTGCTTGAAAATTGAAAGTCATTTCAAAAGGGAACCATTTCAAGTATTGATAACCTTATTATCATTTTATAAAAATACATCTATTAATTCACTAATCTCTATGGGTCACTAAGATTTCGAATAGCTATCCCGAATTCAAGTTATCTATTTAGTAAAATTAATTATTTTATAAGCTGTTAACTATAATACTTAATTAATATTAAAAAGAATAACGTTTCATAATACAATCCATTAGCATTTAAATACTGTTACAAATGCAATGTCACCGAACAATATGAATAATATTACCTCACAAATTATCGAATAGGGCCTATAAATCACCGGCAACTATCATAAATTCTAAAATATGAATTTCTATCGCTCTTCATTTTTTTAGAAATTAAAATTTTTTAAAATTTTCTAACTAATTTTTAATATCACAACTAAATAATAAAAAATAAAAACATTCGGGCGGGTTATAGGTAGATTTCCTGGAAAAATATTATGGAGAACCAAAAGAAATACTAATAGAGTACTTTAAATCTGATTCATGAAAAAAGGTTATGAGTTAAATTAATTTTGAACATTTAAATAAATTCAAGTTATAAATGAAATAATTCATAAATTTATATAAAGATATAAATATTCATTTGCTCTTAATGATTTTTTTTTCAAAATAAATTTCCAGTAATATTTTTTGAATGAGATTTACAATAAATACGAAGAAAAAGCACTTTGATATCGATACATGAGAAGAAGGGATATCCAAAGCTGTACAAATTAACATGGTATTAAACTTATGAGTCACACGATGAAGCTCTAGGAAAGAGTAAAAAAACACAACTAATGGACATTACAAAAAGTATCGAAGAATCAGTTTGATTTATGCATGGAATGAAGGCTATTTTTCTTCTAAGAAGAGTGATGAAAATATATCGGGGGGAAAAAAAAGAAGGATGTACACATGGTATGACCTAGAGAAAGTTTATGACAGAACATCGAAGAAATACTTTTGTAAGTATTAGAGAAAGAAGGAGTTCGTACCAAATATGTAAATACCAAGGAGTTCCCTATAATAACTGGGCTACATCAAGGATTTATAGTGGATGAACTAACCAATTGTTTATAAGAGGATGTTCCTTGGTGCATGTTATTCCTAAATAATATTGCCTTAATGAATGAAACTAACAAGGGAGTAAACTAAAAGTTAGAGCTACAGAGATGAAATCTTGAGGATATGAGGATATGAGTTTACACTATGAAGGTTTAAGGGAAAAATAGGAAAGTGATGTAAGATTAGACGGTATTGTTGGCGGTGACTCGAGTATGGATTAGGTATTAAATTATCTTCCCCTGCCCCATGAAGCAATATAATTACTTATCTACTATTTAGTTCACCATGAATTGAGGCAAGGTGAGTACAGTTCAATAAATTCAATTTTTTTTCAAAAAAATTATGATTTTATACCTATATTTTGTCAAAAATAACTAGTGTATCTAATATTTTTTTTAAAAAAAAAACGCTGCTTTTTCTTTATATATTAGCTCAATTAAACTATCATACTCTTGCGTTCAAATTTTGACCTTTTACGTTAAATAATCTAAAAAAAATGTGAAAATACACATATTTTAATAGGGTTCCATCACTTTCTTACTTTTCTGTCTCATCCTATATTTATTCATGTATACTTTTCCATGGGTGTAGAACGATACAACAATGCAGTAGCGACTCTACAAATTGGTTGGGTTTCCATTGCACCGATGATGGCATAGATAAATTGAGTCTTGAGGGCATGGATCTATCAGGAAAGATTGATGTTTAAACAAAAATGATATTTTTCCAAAAAATTGATAAGTAAAAAACAATATTGATGGAAATCTGTTTCAAATCAATTATAATAAGAAACAACAAAATCCTGATTAAGCATAGAAAAAATAATTTTTTAGTTCAAAGACTTGCTATAAAATATACCCATAAGTTGTTTTTTTTTTTTTTTTTTCCCCAATTCAAACCAAATGGGTAAGGCTTTTTATGGAGGAGAGAAAGATAAGCCAAAAAAGGGAAGAAGAGAAGTAAATCTTTGGATTCATTCAAAATCCAAAAAAACAATAAGATTTTATGAAAATATAACGGGTCTGATTGATATAAAGAAAAAAAAAGGCAAAGATTTTATAAAGAAGGAAAGAAAAAGAAAAGGAAAAGGTACTGCTAAAGCCAGATTTGAAAGTTTTACCAGAAAAGCAAAAAACGCAGGAGCTGTGTTAAAGAGGAGTGGCCAGCCCAGATGATGATAATAATAATAATAATAATAATAATAAAAAGAATAATAAAAGCTAAATGCATGGAGTAATAATGGGAATGGGTTTTTTTTTTCCTCTTTTCGTTTTTGCTCTCCTGTTTTCCACTTCCGAGTGTAAATACTTCTTGAGGGATAAAATTGTTTAAGTTGCAATAGGAATTGGGAATGGATTTTATGGATTGCAGTATGAATTGGGATTGGAGATCTTGCCCTGCAGAATTTGGAAATTGTTGTTAGATTTTTTTTTTTTTTTTTTTTTTTAGATCTTTGCCCTGCAGAATTTTGGAAATTTGTTGTTAGATTTTTTTTTTTTTTTTTTTTTTTTCGGGTTAAAAGATTGAGATGGAAGAAGGAAGAGGTGAGAGGTAGAAGACGAGGACAATTTTATCTTTTTATAGATATTTAATGGAAAAAGGAAAAATTAGACGGAAGGGCATAAATTTTTTTTTTTTTTTTTTTTTTCTGGGTTAAAAGATTGAGATGGAAGAGGAAGAGGTTGAGAGGTAGAAGACGAGGACAATTTTATCTTTTTATAGATATTTAATGGAAAAAATGGAAAAATTAGACGGAAGGGCATAAATGTTTAACGGAACCAAAAGTTAGGAACAAAATAGTGTATTTTTAAAACCGTGAGGGCATGCTAGTTAATTTTGGCAAAATATAAGGATAAAATCGTAATTTTTCCTTTTTTAATCTGAATTTCATTTTTCAAATTTTTATTATTAACCCATTTAATTTACATATTTCTATTATATTCATAATGAATGTTATTCAATATTATTTATTGATTTCAATAAATAACACATAAATAAATATGACAAATAGTGAAAATCAATAAAATGATAACAAAACTACATAATTGAATATGCATAATAACTATAATGAAAATAAAACAAGTTTATTAGCTGCACTTCAACATAATAAATAAAAGAAAAAAAAAGTCAAAAATTAAAACTATTTATTGAGCATAAGAAAAATAGTAAACCGATTAGCAAAATAAGAATAATAGATATTGAAAGAACCAAATAAATGAAAAAAAAGTATAAAAATTAAAAGAAATAGAAAATATAAATTGAACAAATGGTGATTTGATTTGTTACTTACCAAGTTTGAACTTTGATGATATTTAAACTATTAAATTATTAGGATCCGTTAAGTTTTTGGTTTATATAAATTAAAAAAAAAAGCACAATTAAATAAAAATATAATCGGATTGAATTTGGGATAGGGTTTACATTACCCACTATTGTTGAAAATCCATAATGAATATAATTTTTAATATCCATCCCAATCCATTTATTAAATAAATCGGATAAAATCCATACCATTAGGACCGGATTGAAGCAGATATCCATCAGTTCAAATTAAATTGTCATTCTTATGCACAATAGTGTCTAAATGCAATTAATTCAAATATTTAAACTCCGTATTCTAGAAAGGGATCTCATAGATGAAGATGTTTCCTATAGATTCCGAGTAGAATGGATGAAATGAAGGAAAAGAACTATATGATGGGACGATAACAAACAAGATTAAAGGTAAACTCTGTAGGACAGCAATGCTATATGGGAATGAATGTTGGGCACCTAATCTGCAACTATGTTCACAGGATGAATATTGTGGAGATGAGAATGCTGAGAAGATGCTTAGATGTTCACAACATGTTCACAAGATTAAAAATGTCCACATTATACAAAAGGCAGAAGCAGGAAGTTAAAGATAAAATGAGAGGACTCCAGAGATGATAGGTTATACATGCCTCGACATAAAGAGTGCTAAAAAAAGGATTGATTTTAACTATTTGGCAGATTGTTAGCTTATTTCTACACCAAATCAAGAGTCAAAAAGCCAAATTACCTAGAATCATAAGTTGAATCAGAATCAAATCAAAAAACTAAATTTCATCGACTCCATCCGCCAATTGGAATGGGTCACCTATCCCACAATATTTTGACTCACGATGTAACATGTAGATTGAGTGAAAACACACCTTAAAGACCAAAAAAAGTTCTCTATTTTGAATTATATTTCTAGACAGACTGCAAGCTTCAATTTATGAACAGAATTACAAGTCAGGCATACCATGCTATATATAGCAAATAAAAATGTTTTTGACATAATAAAAAAGGAAACTTACTTCTTCAATTAGAAATAAGGAAAAGAACAGAAAAAATATCAGTTGCTTCTCTGTTTAAAGTTCAAATAAATACCAATAGAATTCTGCATATGCAGTTTCAAGAACATAAGCAGGTCTCTATTGTTTTCGTTCTTTAAGAAAGTGTTGGCTTTTACAACATATTCGAATTCTGGCCCATACATATGAGATGCACATGCTGCTTTATAAGTTAGGAGCTGCAAATCACCTGTTGCAAAAAAATAAAAAAAATAATAAAGAAAATTAATATGGCATAAACTTGGCAATTAAAAGAGCTCAAAACCCTGTAACTAGAAGTTTAACTGAGCTGAGTCAAGTTTTATTTTTCATACAATTAAGGGTTGAATTACTATTAAAAACCTAAATAAATTTGTTTATTAAAATTAAAAATAAAGCTCAAATTAGTAAATAATCTACTATAAATATAATATATATATAAAACCTTAATAATACTTGATTATGCTATTGAGTCACTTGAGTTGAGCAATAGTACTCTGATTTTAAGCTAAATTCTTCGAAAGTTAAAACCAAGTTTAATTAAATATTTTGCATGTTGAATCCAAGTGGGGCTCGACTCATAACCATAAATCTTAGACCTAGAGTGGTGCAAGGAAGTAAATCATAAGGCGTGCGTCTAAACTAAGATGTCAATTAAATTGGTATTATAGAATGGCCTGGTAGGTTAGATATGATTTTGATTATCGACTAAGAACAAGTTGAAGCTTTCTAGCCCCTTTTAATACTTTATCCTGTTTTTATGTCTCAAAATTCAGAACTGCAACATTTTAAAGAGTAGCTATGGGTGGGCTCGCCCTTATAACCCAGATCGGCACGTTCAATTCAACACTAGCTCAATATAGAAATCTGTCAATTTCCAGGATTGTGAAAACTTTTGTCTAAAATAAAAAAGAACTCTTATCAAATTGAAAATTCAGGAAAATTTAATGGAGATGTTACTAGGTATGAGCAAACGGTTGAACCGAACCAAACCAAGGCCAAAAAATTGTGAACAGAAATTTTTGGACGATAGACCGAACCAAAATTGGCATCTGACTCGAATTGAACCAGTCAGTTCGTCTGGTTTGGTCAATTTTTGCTATGTTGGTTCAATTTTAAGCCCAACCAATGAATTTCTCGAACTGAATAATAAATTCGGTCCAAACTGAACCTCTCTTAAATAACTGACCGAAACGAAATGAAATAGTTCAGTTCGGTTGGTGGTTTTGCACACTCCTAGATGTTAGCATTAATAAATTGTCCTCTTGAAATATAAAGTTTCTAAACCCTCCTAGTAAAACGAATATTGAAAGCGTGACTTGGTGCATAAAGCATCCATGGTTTTAGGCTATGGGGAGGACTCATGTATGCAGCCTTCTCCTTGCTTTTTGTAGCAAGACTATTTTCATTGCTCGAACTCATAACCCCTATGTCACAAGTGGAGTAACTTTATCATTATACCAAAACCCACTCTCTATTAAAAACATAAATTGCTTGTTAAATTTCCTACAACTAAAAGAAAAGTAATTGTTGCAATTTGCAAAGAGGCTCTTCTCTCCGCAACAGATTAAGATCATGATTTCAACTTGGACTATGCTTATGGGGAGAAATATAAACTACATCAGCCCCTTGTAGCACTAAACCAACAAAGAAGTTTCCTATCTCCAGTCCATAGACAGCACCTGCATGTCTACTTCAGAAGCACACAATCAAAGACACCAGCTCCTCCTTTCCTAACCACTTAGCCTACCAAAATTCAGTCACCAACTGAATTGACAGCAAATCCTGAACCTACCTCTAAATTATAAAGCCATCAGCAATAAACTGATGAACAACCACAACCAAACCAGTGAGAATTCACAAACTTGAAAAGAAAAAAAAAGCACAACAGCTTTGGAAACCAAGAAAATGATGAACAAAGATGGAAGAGCACAGATCTAGACACCATCCTTCAATTCAACCATTGGAAAAACCAACATAGGTTAGCCCCAAAAGAAAAAGGAAGGAAAAAAAAAAAGGAAGCCAATTAATTAGACACTTCTTCGGCAGCAAATAAAGCCTACAAACGTTCTACTTCCTGTAAGGCCCATATCAAGATAAAGGTGCCAAAGTGTGAACAGCATATCAATCTGACAGAATGAAAGGAGAGTTTAAAAAAGCCAGGGGCAAAACAATAAAGGAAGACAAAAAAGAGGACATATGAGGCTGGAAAAGAGAAAGATCAAAAAGGAAAAGGCACCAAACAAGAAAATATTGGAGGGGAAAAAGAGATGGAAGTGAAGAAAATAACAGAAGAGGAAGACGGAGAAGAAGGAAGGGGCATGGGAAGGGGGAAGTAGAGAGGGATACAAAGGAGTAAGAAAACATAGGGCCTTTTGAAACTTCAAACTTCAAAGTTCAAGGACCAAAAGTACGATTTGTCAAACTCTCTTAGTTACTACATGTTAAAGATTAGTTGTAAATAGAGTTCTATTAGGAGTTAGATTCCCAATAGGTTTATAGTATTCTATATATATATATATGTGTGTGTGTGTGTGTGTCCCTATTGATGAAAAAAAACTAAGAGAGAATGTTTTCTTCACACTTAAATTACATTGTATCAGAGCCTTTGGCTTGTTAGCATTTTTTTTTTTTTTCGGGTTTCTGCGTTGACGTTTCCGACGACCGGCGACAAGTCTATTTCGCGACTGTCAGTCTAGGTCTCCCACCTAGGCCTTTGCTTTTGTCTCACCGCCACTCAAGGGAGGAAGAGTGACCTCCGATCGGCGTCTCCACCAAATCCGGTGGCCTGACGACCAGCAAGTGTGCCTCATGCGCTGTCAGAAGAATCTGACGTCATCTCACGCGCCGACGGGTGGAGGCGCGTTTGGCAGTTTCCGGTGACCGAGTTTCGTCCTCTAAGATCGACTTGACGTCTGGGTTCTTTTCCAGTGGTTAGTTTTCGGCTCCGGCAGTATCTGGTAGGCGCTTTCTTTGTTTTTTGCTACTGCTGTTTGCGCCTTTCAGTTCCTTTTGGTGTTGCTACTGTTCTGTTTGGTTCGTGCTATTATTTGGTTGCTGTTGGGGTGTTTCGTTTTTATTAATGGATACTGAACCTACAGATTCTAAAGCTATTATTACTACTAAATTGATCCCAACAATGAATAAAATCACAGAACATAAATTGAAAGGAACTAATTATTTAGTTCCTTTTTGGTGTTGCTACTGTTCTGTTTTGGTTCGTGCTATTATTTGGTTGCTGTTTGGGGTTGTTCGTTTATTAAATGGATACTAACCTACCAGATTCTAAAGCTATTATTACTACTAAATTGATCACGGAACCTACAGATTCTAAAGCTATTATTACTACTAAATTGATCCCAACAATGAATAAAATCACAGAACATAAATTGAAAGGAACTAATTATTTAGATTGGTATAAGACAATTAGAATTTATTTGCAGAGTGTCGAAAAAGATGATCATCTAATTGATGATCCACCAATTGGTGACATTAGACAAAGTTGACAAAGGGAAGATGCTAAGTTATTTCTACTGATTCGAAATTCTATTGACAGTGAAGTGGTTGGTTTAATTAATCATTGTGAGTTTGTTAAAGAATTAATGGAATATCTTGAATTTTTGTATTAAGGGAAACAGTAATCTGTCTCTTATGTATAAGGTCTGCAAAGGATTTTATCGGGCCGACCAGCAAGACAAGTCCCTTACAACTTATTTCGTGGAATTTAAGAAGATTTACGAGGAACTTAATATTTTATTGCCTTTTAGCCCCGCTGTCAGGTTCAACAGACTCAGCGAGAACAAATGGTTGTAATGAGTTTTCTTGCAGGTCTTGCTCCGGTTTTTGAAACTGCCCAATTACAGGTTATTTCAGGCAGTAACGTTACCTCTCTTCAGGAAACTTTTGCTAGATTACTGTGTACTGAAGGATCTCATACCCCTTCCCCTTATGATAATAGTGCCCTTGTAAGTCGTAATCAGATAGTTAGGCAGCTAGGAAACAGAGGAAGAGAAAAGGAAATAACCGTAGTAATGGAGCAATTAATCGGGAGGCAAGCATTATTACCTGCCATTATTGTCATGAACCTGGACACACTAAATGGTATTGCAAGAAACTGATAAATAAGTCGAAGGGCAAATATGGCCCACTCAAGATTCCTACAAGTTACTTTCTTCTGACAACATCTGTAACATTTCTGCTGCACTGTAACAATTTCTGCTGCGGAGTATGCTGAGCTCTCTAGATACCGTTCTTCTAAGTCTACTGATTCCTCAATTGCTGCTGCTGCTGCCAATTCAAGTACTGCTACTAAATGTCTTATGTCTACCTCATCAGAGAGGGTCATTGATTCTGGTTGCACAGATCACATGAGAGGTAACCCTAGTCTCTTATCATCAGTAAAAGAATCTGAACAATTTATGTGACATCCTACTGAATCGAGTCGTTCATTTAGTGAGTCGAGTCGAGTCGGAACGAACCAGAACCCGGTTCGAGCCATAAAAATTTTAAATGGAATCTAAATTCCAAAGACTTGACTTTACATGAATTGAAACATAAAGATGTAGACTCAAATTGTATAAGGGATGAGGACCGAATTGAAATAAAGTATAAATAGTTTTAGGTAGCAGACTGGAAGTTGCTACTTTAATTCAATATTTGACTACTTCACCAACATATTTCAGAGAGGTGGTAGAAGACATATTTGTACCCTAATGTGTTAGATGACCATACAATTTAGAATCACCTAAATTGACCTTATAAATTGAGAGATATGACCAAAATGGTACAAACTGTGCGGGCTGGAAACCAACAGTTGTGCAGACTGGAAGTTGCTACTTTAATTCAATATTTGACTACTTTTCCAATATATTTCAAAGAGGTGATAGAAGCCATTTCCTTGCATGAGCACTTGTGTGGTGTGTTGATAATGAGAAGATATGTTGCTTAATGTTGAGTAAGAAGACTGAAAATGGTGAAAAAGTATGAGATGAAATGAATAAATGAAGTAGATATTGAGTTCATGCTGAAACAGGTTTTGTTGGAAAAGTAACCAGTAACTTCACCATGATTTTGACCCTTTTGAATGATGAAATTAGGAAGTGGCATAGAAGAGTTATTTGTTCCTCTATGGGTTAGCTTTCAATGGGTTTTTGAATCACCCAAATCGGAGTTATAAATTGAGACATATGACCAAAATAGTACAGACTGCGCAGACTGGAAAACACGATGCGCGCTCGCGAATTTCATGTCGAGCTCGCGAATTGTGCCTGTAAACTCTCTGACTCTCATTTTGTGCTTCTCACGCTCTTGTACCCTAATGTGCTAGCTAACTATAGAATTTAGAATCACCTAAATTGGACCATAGACTTTAGAATGACCTAAATTGGACTTAAGAAGAAAGAGTTATGCTAGAATTTGTGAAACATGTACAGGCTGCCCTGGCAGATTTTAAGGCTCCATTAGAAATGCTGTTGGAATGCATATGTAGCTTCATTTAGCCTAAGAGGAGTACTTAAATTAAATCCGAATGTTCTAAATTAAGATACATAAAGATTAGTAAGAGTTGCGTCGCGGGTGCAACAGTTAGATTAATTTCATGCAAATTTCTTTACAAGTTATCACTTGTTTGCATTATTCCTCATTTGATATTACTTGTAGTTGTCTATGAAATCCTTTTAAAGCATGAAATAGGTTAACGACGTATAGAAAGAGACAGCATACAGGTAAACAACAGCATACAGGTAAACAGTATGGTTTATGCATTTTATGAATAATATGCTCCACTGAGGTTAGGTAGAAACCACGTAGATAAGGCTATGTCGCGACATAGGATAGCAGATATGCGTCCCATACAGTTTGGTACTCAGGCTACAGGCCGTTGAGTGGATAAGGATATGATTTATATACGGGTCATAGCAGCCCAGCCATACAGACATTCTTATCACTTCGGTTTCACTGTAACCTTATGGAGCCACACAGTTATGAAATTGTGTTATTTATAAATTATACAATGTTTAATAAAAATTGCATAATGAGAAGCAGATAAGACCATGAAAGTATAATGATATGTGTGCTTACATGCTTATTTATTTAATTCTTATTAAGTTGAGATATCCACTGCGCTTTTTTTGCTCAGCGAGTTACCTGTTTTAACTCGCAGGTTTTGGGTCTGGACCGTAGAGAGTCATTTTTACAACTGCTGCAGTTCATCTTTTGAAGACTTAGTCTTCAGGGTAACTACTCATTTTGATTCTGTGGCATGTACAGGGCATATAGTTAGGCCCATTTCATTTTCGAAAATAGTGTAATGTCATTGTATATATTAAATTAATGTCTGTATATAAATGATGTATAAAGCAACAGCATGACATAATATTTAGCATACAGGATGATATCAACATGACAGGACATAGGTTCAACCAAGGTCAAACCAGATTGTAGCGTCTCGGCCGGTTTCATTCGGGTGGACCAGAAGGGATGTTTTACCAAATTTGCGTATCAGAGCCTAGTTAAATATCCTCTGGCTTGAATGCCATATGTCATCTACAAGTGTACATGCCATGACTACCCTGATGAACTAAGCAGTTGTTATTCTTCTAGGAGGATGTCACAGGAAGGTGAGAGCGAGTCACACGCCTCCAGAGGAGTGGAGGGTGAGCTCCAGTAGCACCAGAGCAGGAGGTGCTGTTAAAACAACTTGCGGAGACCTTTAGACAGATTGTAGGGGTGGTACCTCAGGCACCAGTGGTAGTATACAAAAGAAAGAAAGTCGCACACTAGAAAAGATTAGAAGATTAGAAAATACGGTGCGAAAGAATTCAGAGCTAGCAAGGATGACAGTTCAGAGACAGCTGAATATTGGTTAGATGGTACTTTGAGAGTCCTGCAGTAGTTACAGTGTACACCAGAGGACCATTTGATTTGTGCCACGTCATTGTTGATAGACGAGGCATACACATGGTGGAATACTATTCAACAGAGAGTACCAGCAGAGCAGCGTACCTGGCAATTCTTTTTGTATGAATTCAAAAAAAAGTTCATCACATAGGCTTACCTTGATACTAGAAGGAAGGAATTCTTATACCTTAGGCAGAATAGAATGTCAGTTGCAGAATATGAAAGAGAATTCACCAGACTCAGCAGGTGTGGTGATCGGATAATGGCTATAGAGGCAGAGAGGTGTAAAAAGTTTCAGGAAGGCCTGAACGATGAGATGAGGGAGCTCCAAATGTCATAATGGCCCAACTGTGTAGGAACTTATGCTCTCTTCGGACAGTCCTTCTGATGGTTTGATGCTCCGCATATCCAGCATCTACCAGTCACCATCCAACAATCTCCACCATGCCGTCTGCCACAATGCTCACAAGGTGGAAAAATTGCTCACAAGGTGGAAAAGTATAACCGGCTGACCTTGCACCCTCTACCGGTGCCTCTACCAGACTCCTCCTATCGGAAACCTCTACCACCACCGACAGAAACTAAGCCACGATTGATTGTATTAGGCGCGTTAACACCCCTAACTGTGCTTGTAAAGGAGGGCCTAGGACCAGCTGAAGTACTAGCCACCTCTGAATCTCTTGGCTCTCCGGCTCGGATGTACTGGGTGCACTCTCTCCGGCTGGTATGTACTGGGTGCACTCTGAGTCTGGTCTCTCTTCTGCTGAGACCGCTGGCGTCTGGTACGCTGACTGGCCTGAATCCACTCTATCTCCTGAGCTGCCTCTACCAAAGCTGAGAACTCTCTGAATCTGGAAGCTACCACTCCCATCTGAATCTCATCGTTCCCCATCTGAATCTCATCGTTCGGGCCTTCCTGAAACTTTTTACACCTCTCTGCCTCTGTAGCCACTATCCGATCACCATACCTGCTCAGTCTGGTGAATTCTCTTTCATATTCTGCAACTGACATTCTGTTCTTCCTAAGGTATAAGAATTCCTTCCTTCTAGCATCAAGTCAAGGTAAGCCTCTGTGATGAACTTTTTCTTGAATTCATCCAAAAAGAATTGCCAGGTACGCTGCTCTGCTGGTACTCTCTGCTGAACAGTATTCAACCATGTGTATGCCTCGTCTATCAACAATAACGTGGCACAAATCAAACGGTCCTCTGGTGTACACTGTAACTGCTCCAGGACTCTCAAAGTACCATCTAACCAATACTCAGCTGTCTCTGGACTATCATCCTTACTAGCTCTGAATTCTTTCGCACTGTATTTTCTAATCTTTTCTAGTGGCGGCTTTCTTTCTCTGTCTACTACCACTGGTGCTTGAGGTACCACCCCTGCAATTCTTCTAAAGGTATTCCGCCAAAGTTGTTTTAACAGCACCTCCTGCTCTGGTGCTACTGGTCAGCCTCACCCTCCACTGCCCTGGAGGGCGTGTGACTCGCTTCTTCACCTGACTCGCTCTCACCTTCTTGTGACATCCTCCTAGAAGAATAACAACTGCTTAGTTCATCAGGGTAGTCATGGCATGTACACTATAATGACATATGCAGTCAAGCCAAGGGAACTAAACTAGGCTCTGATACCAAAATTTGTAACATCCCTTCCCGGTCCACCCGTGAACCCAAATGAGCCGGGCCGAGACGCTACAATCTGGTTGAACCTATGTCCTGTCATGCTGATATCATCCTGTATTCTAAATATTGTCATGCTGTTGCTTTATACATCATTTATATACAACCATTTATTTAATATATACAAGACATTACGCTATTTTCCAAAATGAAATGGGCCCAACTATATGCCATGTACATGCCACAGAACCCAAATATCAAAATGAGTAGTTACCCTGAAGACTGGGTCTTCAAAAGATGAATTGCAGCAGTTGTAAAGATGACTCTCAAAGGTCTAGACCCAAAACCTGCGAGTTAACACAGGTAACTCGCTGAGCAAATAAAGCTCAGTGACGCGCTGAAAAGGCAAAAAAAAAAATTAAAGCTCAGTGGATATCTCAATCTTTAATTAAGCATTAAATAAATAAGCATGGTAAGCCACACATAATCATTATAACTTTCATGGTCTTATCTACTTGTCATTTTATGCTGTATGAATTTATGCAATTTTTATTATCTCTCTCTTTT